TCAAATGTACTGCTATTAAATTCAACCGCCAAACAGGGTCAAAACATCGCATAATATCACCAAGAGGGTTAAAATTACTTACGTTATATTGACCGGCACCGCTGTGTCGGGCTGTGTACGTAGTGTAAACTTAGCTTCGCGGATCCATATATACTTGAAAAACAAGGAATCCGGATACTTTTACAAATCCGGAAACTTTTGCTCTAGTGTAAACGTTAAAGACTATATATAAGTTCTTTTTCTATCTGGTAACATTTAGTTTACGCTATACTGCCTATAGTGATTCACAGCGGAGCAGCTCATTGAATATTGTGATGACAAAGAATGAAATAATAGCATTTGCCGGGTTTCTCTTGTTACATCATAAGCAATATCATGTAATTTTACATATATTAAATATTATTATCACTATAAGCTTTTAATTTTACATATATTAAATATTATTATCACTATAAGCTTTTAAGTTTATAGTGATAATAATATTTAATATATGTAAAATTACATGATATTGCTTATGATGTAACAAGAGAAACCCGGCTAATGCTATTCTTTCATTCTTTCATTTTTTTAAAAAAATTGTATATACTTATTCATATTACATAGGCTCAATTAACATAGCTTACATGCACGAGTAGGCAAAGAGTTTAAAGATTAAGATGTCCCACAACTGTCAATTTGTGGTTTACTGTCTGACTCTCGGGTTAGATAAAATACCTGGTAAACTTTTAAAAGATACAGAGCTGTTGTCACTCCATTTCTTAATCTTATCTTCAACTTATCCTTGGCCGAAGGAATATTTCCTAGTGATTGGAAGAACGCAAGAGTATCGCCTATCTATAAATCAGGAAATCGAGATGAATGCATTCGCAGCAATTATAGGCCAATATCTATTTTGGCTACTATATCTAAGATTTTTAAAAAGATTGTTTTCGAACAGATAAATGAATAGTTTGTTTCAAATGCAATACTAACCCCATATCAACATTAGAGGGTTTTAGATTGACGTATTTTCGTATTTCCCGCTAACCGCAAACGGGTAAAAATCACGTGACAGCCATCTTGCCGTCAGGTTACACGTTCGAAGTAGACGTTTCTACATTGTTATCAAACCTGCTGATAAGGGTGGTGCCTTAGTTATTTGGAGAGCTGATTTATATCGTAATGAAGCCCACCGACAATTGGGTGACGCCACTTTTTACAGGAGGGTTGACAAGGATTTCGGAAATCAAAACGTGTACAGAGGACTTGGGACGAGTCTGCACGAGCGCAGCCAATATCAATCTCGAAACCAGAGCCCGCAATCCTCTGCGGAGGCCTGCTGAGGCTCTGGGATGACGAGCCAGACAGCTCCAGATTGGCAGCTCCAGATTGGCGAATCTGGGAAACACCGGCGACTTTTGCATGAAAATCAGTACATTTGGATCCAGTACTCCGCTCGACATTTATAAATAGACATTACTGCCGTCGAACATGAATTATGCCGTTATTTAAGCTTATTACGACTTTAATTCTTCAAAGAACACTTGCCATGGTTTTGAATTGTTGTAAGATACTGGTAGTGATTTATTTTAACTTGTTTAATTACGGTAAATCATGGATTGTTGGTTTTTTTAAAGATGCTGTAAAGTCCGTTCTGCGCATATATTCTGCGCATCAACACATTCCATCAGTGGGGGAACAAACACCGCGGAAAAACGTCTGCGCATGCGTCAACCTTACCTGTAATAGTATTGCGAACTTGATGAGAAGCTGTTCCGAACGTTTCCGGAGGCTCAAAATGGCGGTAAAAAGGAGTGACTTCATTGTGCGTCTTTACAGCCAGATTTCGAGCGCAAAAATAAACATGTCATTCTAAAAACTAGGAATAAATACAGCCAGAAGGTTCAAGAAATTGTATTGTACAAGAACATGAAATAAAGGTGATTGTTGACAAATTTATCGTCTGAAACATTTTGTTTATCAACTAAGCAACGACAATTTCCGAATTTTCGTTTGAGATACATTTCTTTAAAAAAAACTATGTCGCCAAATATAAAAAATTTTCGTGTTCACAATAATTAAACTTTAGGATTTATTCTACAATTTGAGTGGGTTAAAAAGCTTAACTTTTCGAGAGTTTTCTTAACTTTTGAGTTTGAATTTTTGTTTTGAATAATTTTGCAAAAATTTTCGAAGTCGTGTCCGTTAAAATCAACAATTTTTTACATGAATTATATTTCATTCCATAATTTAAATGCCAGGACGCTTTCAATTAATGTCTAGTCTACCCATTTGCTATATTTTCTCGTTTGTTTTACTAATTTTTGACCAATTAATAAGCATGTTTTTGTTTTAGAAATTGATATTCAAATTCCCCGCCATATTTTCATAATTTGGTGCATGTGCAGACGTTTTTCCGCGGTGTTGGGGGAACAACCTTTGGAATGTTGTTAATATTTCGCACCTTCCGAACTTTCTTGAATTGAATCTCTAGTCTGCATTCATTTACAAGCATAGCGAACCAGAAGAGTGTCAAAAATTCAGTATAATATATATCTAATCATATTTT